AACCATTTTTAAAACAAAAATATCTTTAAAACATGTTTATCAAAGCTTCAAACACCACTTTCACTTTTTGTAATAAAATCGGACATGTTTCTTTTAATTGCTTAGTTAAAAAGAAACTATATTTTGAAAACAAACATAAGTGGATTAAAGAATCCTCACAAACTAACTATCAAGGACCCAAATTTGTATGGGTACCAAGAATCAAAAATCAAATTGTTTTTGTAGATGCCAAAGAAAACCAATAGCAAGTGGTTCTTGGATAGTGGATGTTCAAAGCATATGACCGGAGATCGATCACTACTTTCAAACTTCAAAACAAAGGATGGAGGTCATGTTACTTTTGGAGACAATGCAAAGGGGAAGATAATTGGAATCGGCAACATCGGTAATCACCTATCCCCCTCTATTGAAAATGTTTGGTTAGTTGATAACCTCAAACGTAATTTGTTAAGTATTAGTTAATTATGTGATAAATGTTACAATATAAAATTCGATTCTTCCAAATGCCTAATTGAGGATACTATATCAAAAGAGGTGATTTTCAAAGGGAGCCAAAACAAGGATATTTATATCATTAATATTGAATATGAAAATAATGAACATTGCTTGCTTGGATTTAAAGACGAAACTTGGCTTTGGCATAGAAGACTTGGTCATGTAAACATGGAACTTATTTCAAAAATTTCTAAAAATTGTTTTGTGAAAGGATTGCCAACTTGAAATTTGAAAATGACAAAATTTGTGATGCATGTCAACTTGAGAAGCAAATCAAAAGTTCTTTTAAATCAAAAATATTTTCTTCAACAACGAAACTATTGCAACTTCTTCACATGGATCCTTTTGGACCATCAAGAACAACTAATATAGGTGGTAAACACTATACTTTTGTTATCGTTGACGATTTTTCTAAATTTACATGGGTAATATTTTTAAATGCAAAATATGAAGCCTTAAAAGCCTTCAAACATTTTTGTAAGAAAGTTGAAAATGAAAAGGGTTACACTATTAGAAGTGACCACGGTGGAGAATTTGACAATCTCGCATTTGATGATTTTTGTAACAATAATGGATATGAACACAATTTTTCGGCTTCTAGAACTCCTCAACAAAATGGTGTAGTAGAGAGGAAGAATCACACATTACAAGAAATGGCTCGAACCATGCTAAATGAAAATAATTTACCAAAATATTTTTGGGTCGAAGCCGTTAATACCGCATGCTATATCATAAATAGAGTTTTGGTTAGTCGCAAGAAAACCAAAACCCCGTACGAGCTTTGGAAAAATAGAATACTCAACATTAGTTATTTCAAAGTGTTCGGTTGCAAATGTTTTGTCTTAAACACAAAAGACAATTTGGAAAAATTTGACTCAAAATCCGATATGGGAATTTTTCTTGGTTATTCATTGACTAGCAAAGCATATAGAGTTTTCAACAAAAGAACTCTAGTCGTTGAAGAATCAATAACATGTTACTTTTGATAAAACTAATCTAATTGATCAAGAGAAGGGTATTGATGATGATGTAGGTTTAGAGACTCCTTTTGAACAAATGAATGTCCAAGACAAAGGAGTGTCTAATGAAGAACAATCAAAGGAGGCCAACGATCAAGAAAGAGAAGAAGCACCAACCGAAACTCAAGATAACTCCATCTTACCAAAGGAATGGAAGTTTGTCTCGTCCCACCTAAAGGAGTTAATAATCAGCGATCCATCAAAAGGTATTACTACTAGAACTTCTCTTAAAAATCATCTTGGTAGTTGTGCATTCATCTCACAAATTGAACCCAAAAACTTTAAAGAAGCGAAATTTGATGAGTTTTGAATTCTAGGAATGCAAGATGAACTTAATCAATTTGAAAGAAACCATGTTTGGGACTTGGTTGCTAGACCAACAAATCAAACCGTTATTGGTACTAAATGGGTTTTTCAAAACAAAAGAGATGAAAATGGAATCATTATGTGTAACAAGGCTAGATTAGTGGCCTAATGTTACAATCAAGAAGAAAGAATTGACTATGAAGAAACTTTTGCACCGGTAGCTCGACTAGAGTCCATTCGCATGCTTCTTGCATTTGCATGTCACAGAAACTTCACGCTTTATCAAATGAATGTTAAAAGTGAATTTTTGAATGGATTTATTCAAGAAGATATCTATTCACCCCCCTCTTGGTTAACCTATCTTGGGTTTACAAAAATTTTGTTGGTTTCCATGTCAAGTAATTTAGATCCCTTGGTTCCAAAAGGATATCCTAAGAAAATGTTTCTTCTTCCCCTGGAGTCAAATTTGTGTCTGTTGTGTATAAGTGTGGTAGCAAAGGCCAAGCACCCAAAAACTTTGAGACTTGTATAGATTGGCTCGATTTTGAATAGGATTTCAAAAGGTGAATTATTATTCAGAACAGGGGTAGGAATTCTATTAATCAAGAAGACAGCAGTCGGAGGATAAAATCATTCCAATATAGCATAGGCAATCTACTTTGGAATTTTAGTGCTCTAGCTACATTGAAATGTGTTAGTGCTTTCTTTCAACTACGGCATTTTGCTGAGGGGTTTCAACACATGAGGTTTGATGTATAATCCCAATTTTAGAATAAAATTGTTTCAAGCTAAATTCCCCTCCATTATCAGTTCTAACAATTTTGATTTTGGATTTAAATTGTGTTTCAATCATGGTATAGAAATTTTGTAAGGCAATCGAAGCATCAGACTTTAATTTTAACAAATAAACCCAAGTACACCTGCTGTGATCATCAACAATAGTGAGAAAATACTTGGATCCATCATAAGCAACATCAGTACAGGGTCCTCATAGGTCACAATGGATCAGGTCAAAACATTTTTCTGACATGTGATGACTAGTATTGAAGGGCTGCCTATGCAGTTTGGCTAAAGGACAAATGGAACAAGGTTGTTTGGTATATCTGGGACTAGAACTCTGATGTAAGTTGGTCAATTGTAGTCTTGAATCTGAGGGATGGCCTAATCTGAAATGCCATAGGTTATAGTTATCTTGGTTGATAGCAGCTGATACACTAGTTCGATTGTTGAATTGTAGCAGGTCTTTAATCAGGCTAGTAGAGGGAAACCTATTCTGCACTAAAGGGCACAAGCATTGCCTCACTTCACCGAGACCAATCATCCTCCAAGTTGAAAGGTCATGTACATAACAAAAAACAGAGGAAAATATAAGGCAACAGTTGGATGTTTGAGCTAGTTTCCTGGAAGATATGAGATTAAATGAAAAAGATGGAACACATAGGGCATCATGAAGAAACAAATGATCTGTGATTCTAACATTTCCTACATGCAACTGTTATATCTCCATTAGGTAGGCTAATGGGTTGATTGATTTCAGACTTAATATATGTGAGAAATGAAGTTGAGCAAACCATGTGGTCTGTGGCTCTGGTATCTATGATCCAAGGTACAGATGAAGTGACACTAATCTTATCATGGTGAGAAGATAAGCACATATAAGTACCAGAAATTTTAGGTGCATCTATGTGTTTGGTGGAAGAAGAACTTAGAACATGACTGATTGAAAGCGAGTGAGATTGACTGGTTGGTGGTCTGAGCAAAGCCATTAATTGAGTGTATTGCTCCTAAGTTAAAGTAACTTAGTTTATGTCACTAGCTTGATCTTGTGAAGGACTTACAGGATCAACATTTTGATCAACTAGAATAGCATTTGCCTGCACTCTTCCATGAAGTTTGTGGCCTGGAGGGTACCCATGGATCTTGTAACAATTGCTTACAGTATGGCCTGGCATTTGACAATGTGTACATACTGGTTTGTCTTTGTTAGCTTTAAAGCATCTATCAAGTGAGTGACCAAGAATCTTGCAGAGCGTGCAGTAATATTTCTTTTGAGACACCCGGTTCCTCTTCTCTATCTCCTTCAAATTGCCTCTTCTTGCCATGAGTGCCATTCCATTAGAGACTGGTACATCAGTAGAAATCTCTCTTCTCTTCTCCTCTTGCTGCATTATGGAATATACTTCATTCAATTTGGGAAATGGCTTTATCAGCAGAATTTGAGCCTTGAGACTCTTGTAGGAGTCGTTAAGTCCCATTAGGAATTTCATCACCCAGTCCCTCTCTTGGTTGCTAACTACTGTCTGCAGCCCCCCCACATGTGCAATTGGGAATGGATTCATAGTTCATCAGCTCATCTAGTAGTGTCTTCAGCTGTGAGAAATAAATACTCACCATATCCTGTCCCTGTAACAGCGTCGTTATTGCTTGCTTAACTTCATAGATTCTAGGTGCGTTTTGTTGAGCCAAACGTTGCTCTAATTCCAGCCATAGTTGATGAGCTGTTTCAGCATATAATGTGCTAACCTTAATGTCTACTGCCATGGTGTTTTGGAGCCAAGTGATGACTATATCATTACATCGAAGCCAATGCTCCATTAGTGGGCTATCAACATCAGAGGGTTCGCAGATACTCCCATCAATGAAGCCAAGTTTGTTTTTTATTCAAAGGGCCCTTCTCATAGATCTTGCCCAAGAATGGTAGTTGCTGTAAAGTCAAGCATCTGTGTTACCAGCAGGGCACTGGAATTCTCGCTTGCACCAATAAAATAGGGGCCGTTGGGAAAAGATGGATTATGAGAATTTTGGTTTTGATTTGAGCTTTGAGGTAGAATTGGGTTTTAATGTGTATCAGTGACACTTGTGCCATCATTATCAGCCATTTGGCTCAGATACCATGTAACAATTTAGCTAAGAAAGATTGCTAATTAAAAGTAACCAAAGCTCAGAATTAAGGAGCAGAGAGAATCGTGCTTCTGTTGTATATATTCTAATATTTATTGAATAAGATTACAACGTGTATATATATACACAAGAATTCAACCTAACTTTGTACAGGTGGTAATCAAAATTGGTTATGCAATTAGCACTATAACTGAATTTGGAATCTATTCTAACTTCTTGTTACAAGTGGTAGCTCATTTTCATTCTAGCATGTTCTACAATCTTCTAGCCTTTCTTTGCTCACGGTCTGGCTGATCCTTTGCTCATGGTTACAGCCTTGATCTTCAACAGAGCTTGCTTTGCTTTCTATTAAAGGTGACTTTAATGATGTGTTGGAACACGTGGTGGAGTTCATCTTGAACTACCAAATTTAAAAGCTTAATTGATGTTAACAACCTACAGACAATTTTTGTTTATATAAATTGTCTTCAAGAACATAGAACCGTTGTTGAACTAAGAAAGGTGGATGGAGTGGAATAAAACAGAAGCTTGAACAGAATAATTGAGTTCGTTTATGTGTTGAAACAGGAGCTTAGCTAGAGTTTGCAAGAAAAACAGGTTGTATTCGAATGGTTGTTGCCTCATTTTCTTTTCTTTGCATTGCTTTGGCACTTCAGCTGTGATCGGGTTCATTTATGATACATTTTTGTAATGTAGAATTTGAGGAACATTAAGTCCCTGTTTGGTGTAGCAAATATAAGATTTTTAATAAATTATCATAAAAATTAATGAAATATGTGATTGAGAAATTAATGAAAGTCATGGGTCTTTCGAAATGTGTGATTAATTTTATTTGTTGACTTTGACTTAAATTTTTAGTAAAATTTTAAACAATACCAAATAAGGGCTAAATTGTCTTGATAAAAAGAGTGGTTCTCATTCAATTCAACTATTTTTCCGATGATCTCATATAAAACTTTTCAAAGTCGTTCTCATTCAATTCAACTATTTTTCCGACGATCTCATATAAAACTTTTCAAAGTCATTCACCCTGAATAAAAATGAATAACTTCAATTGGTGTTTCTTCCTAATTCATATTGAGAAAGTACGGTTTTAAAGATATTAGAGGAGAAGAACTTATTCTAATTTCAAGAGCTCGGATTGAATCAGTATTGCTTACTTGGGAAACACCACTTGTACAACCTCGGTTGACAACCTTTCACAGTAGTGGGCCCCACTGTGCTCAAAAAAAATAAAAAATTACCCACCTACTCACCCCATTCCATCCCATCCCATCACATCTCATCACATGTGTGAGTGATTGTCAATCGAGGTTGTCAACCTTGATTGTACAAGTAGCACGGTTCTGTTTACTTTTCTATTTTCATAATTTTCCTTTTATTACAACATTAACATTTATTAAGAGATTTAAAATGAATCTAGAAAATATTGTAATAATTTTGATATTTAAGATATCATGTAATCTGTCCATATTAATAATTCTATACTCCTAATCAATTTATAACTCTTTTTTGAATTCTAATCAATTTATAACTCTTAGAATTTAACCACGGTTCCTATTTTGAAGCCACCGAATGGACCTGATTGGAATTAGTTATTTTGGTTTTTAGAGTAATGAGGTATTAATCATGTAATTTATTTCACTCTTTGTTACCTCAAAAAACTTATTATATATACTGAAGTACTCAATGTACAATATTATCCAAGATCATTTTATATTTTATTATTTGCACAAATATTAAATGCATTTATAAAAATATTCAAATAACACAAATTAATATTTATTTGTTAAAAATATAATGTCAAATTACAAACAAAATTTTTACAACTACTCGATTCACTTGGGGGGAAAAATGAAAAATAAAAAATAATCTCTCCCATTTTGGTTAAGACATTAGCAAGAGAGAGATTCCTAAGGCAGCAGCAAATCCCAATGCAGCAATTATGTAAACCCAATGAATTTCAAATTTTGAGGTTTGGACATGATCCACCTTATTGGAATCACAACTTCTGTTTAGAGGAAATCCGCATAGTCCTACATTTCCTTCGTAAGAATCTGCTGAAAATGTCTGAAGCTGATTGCCTGAAGGGATATTGCCGGACAAATTATTAAAAGACAGGTTTAAAACTTGAAGGAATGTGAGAATCGCAAGCTCCTCTGGAATCTTCCCTTTCAGGTGGTTCATTGATAGGTCTAATGATTCAAGCTGTGTTAAGTTCCCAATTGATGATGGTATTGTTTCTGTAAACGCGTTAGAAGATAAGTTAAGAAGATGGAGTGATTTAAGATCTCCTATTGAATCAGGTATCTTCCCTTTGAAATTGTTCCTCGAGAAATCAATGAATGTGAAGACTTTCAAAATTTTCTCGAGTTCCCTCTCTAGTCCTTTAATGCTCACTTTTATGGTTTCTTGGTAATAAAATCCATTGACTGTCGAATCAAAGTGAATTTCATCGCGTCTCGAATGATCATTATAGTTGAAATTTATCATTCCTTTCCAATTTGAGAAGAACGATGGGGACAAATCACCAGTAAAGTGGTTCACAGAAATGTCCATGATTTGAAGGTTTCGCCACTCTTTTATAGCTCCAGGACAATGAAGGTCTCCATAGAACCTGTTGGATCGTAGAACCAAGACAAGCAAGTTGGTGTTCATCAACATGCAGGGAAAGGTATCTTCAATCCTATTGTTCTCAATGTTCAGAACTTCTAATAATGGGCAATTAACTAGTGATTCTGGAAGTTTCCCTGCCAAGAAATTCTGACTGAGGTCTAGAGTTTCTAGACTACAATTCATAGAAAATGTGTCAGGGATAGTGCCATTGAGCCTGTTCCTCCGTAGATTCAGAACCTTAAGCTGACTGCCATTGTTCTCTGTTAGACAGGATGGTATAGTGCCATTCAAAGCATTGTTGGACAAATCGAGAAGTTCAAGGTAATGTGCGTTGCACATGGACATTGGGATTGCTCCACTGAGGCTATTATTGGAAACAGAGAAGAAAAGAGCAAATGATATATAATTTCCAATGTCAGGCGGTATGGAGCCGTTGAAATTGTTGTTTGAATAGTCCACATAGTAAGAGCAAAGTGGTGGAATTGGTAACTCACCACGGAGCTGGTTGGAACTCAAGTCAAGTAGTTCCATATTGATACTAGAAATTTCGTAGGGCTTCTGGAAATCGGTGAGTTGATTGAAAGAAAGATTCAAAAAACTTAGTGACCCATTATTAATTTCCCAAATCCAAGTAGGTATTTCCCCCTTCAGTTGGTTGGCTGAAAGATCCAAGATGCTCAAGTTTAATTGACGCAGTCGATTTGGAAACTCTTGCAACTTGCACGAAGCTAATTTCAGTGTTTCTATGTTAGGAAAGAGAGACAGGGTTGAATTACTATTACTCAGATCAATTGACAAATTGTTAGAGGAAACCTCAAGCGACCGTAGATGACGACTCTCTTTGATCATTTCTAGCTCGAAAGTGCCACTGAAGAAGTTAAAAGAAAGTGAGAGAGAAGTCAAGTGCTCAAATTTAAAGAAAAACTTGGGAATTGGCCCTTCTAGCTTATTACTACTCAAATCCAGATTACAGAGTTGAGAAGCTGCAGGATTAGGAAGCTCTTCAATTTGACCATCTAATTGATTGTTCAAAAGAAGAAGACTCCTTAAAGATGGGAGCACAAAAAGAGCAGATGGAAGGTTCCCAGTGAGCAAATTATTCCCTAGATTTATATAGTAAAGATTTGACATGCCTTGGAAATGAGCATATGAAAGTGGACCTGCTAATCGATTATGAGAGAGGTTTATGTGGGTAAGTTTCTTTGACTTGTGAAACGGAGGGATCAAACCACTGAAGTTGTTGTTTGAGAAGTCCAAATAAACAACCTCTGTAAGGTTTGTTATTGTGGAGGGAATTTTTCCACTGAACTTGCAATTGGACAGATCTATCCTGGATAGCATGACAAGGTTGCTGATAGAATCTGGTAATGAACCTGAAAAGTTCGTATAGCAAAGTACCATATTCCTAAGAGATATGGCCCTTGGAAATTGCGGTAGAGTTCCTTTGAGTAAGATATTGTAAGATAAATCCAGATTCAGCAGAGTCGGAACCTGGAAGATCTTGTTTGGAAAAAATCCTTCTAGAGAGCAGTTGCTTAGACTCAAGGATGTCAAGTTTGAGAAATTTGCAAAGAAGTCCGGAACTGTTGTTGACAGATTGTTATCATCCAGGTGAAGAACTGAAAGTGATTGGACCCTTGAAAAGGAAGAATCTATAGGCCCTGAAAGATCACATCTGCGCAGGCTCACCTCTCTCAAATTCGGTAAGAAAAAAGATAAAACCTGGCACCAATCAATTCCCTGAGATGAAATTTCCACGCCATCAATATGAAGTTCTTGAAGCTCGGTTAAGTTCTGAACCAGCCCTCTCAAATCTGGATTCCGAAGACTCAGATTGCCATTACGAAGATTGGAGAGATCAAGACTAACCAATCTCTTCATTGATGAAAGCTCACACGGTATCTGTCCAACTAAACCGGCTTCTGACAAATTTAAGTGTGTTAGATGTGTAAGATTGTAAAGCCTTCTTGGTATCTGAATATTTCTGAAGTCGTTGAATGCCAGATTCAGCTTCTCTAGATGCTGAAGAGTAAAAAGACTAGTAGAATTCTCAAATCCGGCAATAATGGATTCATTTTCCAGCTCCAAGCTGATGACATGACCAGCGGTATCACATCCCACCCCGTTCCAACTGCAACAGTCCTCATTTTCATTCCACCTTACCAATTTTCTTGATGCCGAAGAATTGAACAAGAATTCATCCTTCAACTTGAGTAGTAAAATTTTCTGATCCTCCAGGCATAGGCTTTGGCTGCAAACTGGAGCAAAAAAAGTCGTGCACAAAATTGTGGTTATCAAGATGGAGAAAAACTGTGGGGTTATTAAAATTTTCATAGTGAAGGAGATGTAAAGGATACGAGCAGCTCCGTAGTTGGAATGGCGGTTTTCAAGCTGCCACTGGAAATATATAGTCACACAGTTAACAGCCTGTACAGTGGGGTTCCGAACCAAGTAAACTTCGTGCTAAGAATTGTGTAATGAACTTATACCTCTTGATTAGTAAATAAAGGAATGTAAAATACGGTATTATGAAAATCAAATAAGAACAAAAAACTTACGTGGTAAGAAGAGAAATTTATTAATATGAATAATGGAGGATTACAAATTATCGTGTAAAATGTAAGGATTGATTTTTCTAGAAATTTACTCTTCATGTGTATATAGTGCAAAGAATAACCTAGAAGAACCTAAGATGTGATGGAGTTTAATTATAACAAGTTTATATAATAATGGAGTGTTTGGGATAAAATAAGATTAAAAAAATTTGTCAGAATCGCGAACTGATTCCTCGGATAAGACCGCCACTCTGGCAGACGTCAAGCAGCGTCCTCACAGATAGCAAGTGCTAGAACTCCTATTCTGAGTGCTCGAGCGGGATGATTTACGCGTAGCGAGCATCGATGCAACACTTCCTCTCCTTTCATGATTTCTTCTATTGTAAATTGGACTCTTTCAAGTCTAACATAAATCATCAACTCCCAAACTGAATTTCAATTAGAATTTCCGAGTCCACTTCAAATAAAATTCCCAAATAGCCTTTCATATAAAATTCGGGTCACGCCCTAATTCTAATCCTTTGAGCGTTATATCATAAAATACATCTCAACGTTTATTTCAGGGAGAAAAACTCACCAATTTGTCCTTTTCACTTAGTCAACAAAGGTCTTTCTTTGTAAACTTGAAATGTTTTGCATGCTAAATCTCATAATGGAAACAATGACCAATATTATTGACGTTGGAATTATTTTTTTGACCAACAAGTACAAACATGAAACTTCATATCGGGAAATTCTCACGGAGTAGTTATAATACTAGATTAATAAGACAAGGAATTTTTTTGTAAAAAATAGATTAATAATAGTTCAATGACCCAATCAAAATTTGATTCTAATTATTCATTAATTAAATGAATTAAATATAGATATATGTCAATCCAACGATTTGGGAAATGTATGTTAATAACATTGATAAAGAGTTTGTTGGAATATTTAAAAAAAAAATTATTTTTAAATTGTAGAATATACATTTAAAAAATTGAGAATCTTTTGGAAATGCCAGTTATTCTTCCAACGACTTCGAAAAAATCTTGGTCTATGTTATATCATATTCAACTTCATTCTTCCAATGACTTGGAAAAAATCTTGGTCTATGTTATATCGTATTCAACTTCGTCTTATTCAAAATTTTCCAAGTGATGTCCATAAATATACTAGAACATGAACAAGAAATAGTTTACCTATAAAATATAATGATTTTAAAAATAAAAGAAGTTTTCTTATATATTCAATTAAATGAGATATATGATTACGGTTGTCAATTGATTAGATTTTGATCCGAATGCAACGAAATTGATGGGAGATGGATTTAGAGTCTCGATCCGATAACCCGATCAAAATTCGATTCCGATAATTCATTAACTAAATAAATCAAATATGGATATATGTCAATCCAACGACTTGTGAAATGCATGTTATTCTTGATAACATTGATAAAGAGTTTGTTGGAATATTTAAACAATTTTACTTTTTAAATTGTAGAATATACTTTTAAAAAATTGAGAATCTTTTGGAAATGTCTGTTATTTTTCTAACGGCTTGCGAAAAATCTTGGTCTATGTTATATCGTATTCAACTTCGTAAATTGGAGTACTTATTCAAAATTTTCCAAGTGATGTCCATAAATATACTAGAAAATTAACGAGAAATAGTTTACCTATAAAATATAATTATTTTAAAAATAGAAGAAAATTTCTTATATATTCAATTAAATGAGCCACGTGATTACGGTTGTCAATTGATTGGATTTTGATCTGAATGTAATGAAATTAATGGGAGATGGATTTAGAGTCTCGGTCCGATAACCCGATCAAAATTCGATTTCGATAATTCATTAACTAAATAGATCAAATATGGATATATGTCAATCTAGTGACTTGAGAAATGCATGTTATTCTTGATAACATTGATAAAGAGTTTGTTGGAATATTTAAAAGAATTTACTTTTAAAATTGTAGAATATACTTTTAAAAAATTGAGAATATTTTGGAAATGTCTGTTATTCTTCCAACGGCTTGCGAAAAATCTTGGTCTACGTTATATCGTATTCAAATTCATTCTTCCAATGACTTGGCAAAAATCTTGGTCTATGTTATATCGTATTCAACTTCGTAAATTGGAGTACTTATTCAAAAGTTTCAAAGTGATGTCCATAAATATACTAGAAAATGAAAAAGAAATAGTTTACCTATAAAATATAATGATTTTAAAAACAGAAGAAGTTTTCTTATATATTTAATTAAATGAGTCATATGATTAGGACTGACAATTAATTGGATTTTGATTTGAATGCAATGAAATTAATGAGAGATTGATTTAGAGTCTCGGTTCGATAACCCCGATCAAAATTCGATTCCGATAATTCATTAACTAAATGAAACAAATATGGATATATATGTCAATCCAACGACTTGGAAAATGCACGTTATTCTATTCTTAATAACATTGATAAAGAGTTTGTTGGAATATTTTAAAAAAATTACTTTTTAAATTCTAGAATATACTTTTAAAAATTGAGAATCTTTTGGAAATGTCTGTTATTCTTCCAATGATCGACTTGGGAAAAATCTTGGTCTATGTTATATCGTATTCAACTTCGTAAATTGGAGTACTTATTCAAAATTTCCCAAGTTATGTCCATAAATATACTATAAAATTAACAAGAAATAGTTTACCTATAAAATATAATAATTTTCAAAGTAGAAGAAGTTTTCTTATATATTCAATAAAATGAGTCATGTGATTAGGGTTATCAGTGGATTGAATTTTGATCTGAATGCAATGAAATTAATAGGAGATAGATTTAGAGTCTCGATCCGATAACCCTATAAAAATTCGATTCCGATAATTCATTAACTAAATAGATCAAATATGGATATAAGTCAATCCAATTCGATTTGTTATAAATAGTTGAATCAATTAAATATTTTTATGACATGTTATTTGTTATTAAAATAAATAAATGAGAAAATAAATTGGAATAAAAAAGTCATCAAACTCAAATCATTAAAAAAAAAAGGTCAAGCCACGTGTATATAGTGTTCTAAAAAGCATAATGAGCGACAAGGCATTGATGTTTCGGACTAACGAATCTAGATAAAGCCTAAGTGTTAAAAACGTAAAAAAAAAAGTATTTTCTTATTTTAATATTATTTTAAATTTGTAATCAATCTAAAATTTATTTAATAATACATACATATTATAGTACCGAATGCACTTTTAAGAGCTTAACAAAATAAATATATTCGATAAACAAGATATAGTATAATAGTGTTAATTGAAATATTTTGAGAGTTTTAATTTTTTTTTTAATTAGTAAAAGATAGGAAAAATGATTAATTTAATAAAATATAAATAGATATTTATATAATAGTACAATACACTACATCTAAATCAAATGTATAGTACATTACAACCAAACCAAATGTACAATACACTACAATCAAACCAAATGTACAATGTACTAAGCCAAACCAAATGAATTCTTATCCTACATCGAAAGTTTATAACAAAATACTTAGAGATGCCTCTATAAATAAGTGAGTTGATAAATGAGTAAGCAATTTTTTGTGCATTTCAATCCAATTGGCTAAAACTTAAAAAAGTTGAAAATTTTATAACTATTAAACGTGTTTCAAAATTGAAAAAATTGGGAAAAAAAGAGAGTTAATTTCAACATTAATTTTATTTTCCTAATTTGGAATCGAATTATCGGATCGGATATTCGATAACATATACAACCAAACCAAATGTACAATATACTACAGTCAAACCAAATGTACAATGTACTAAGCCAAACCAAATGAATTCTTATCCTACATCGAAAGTTTATAACAAAATACTTAGAGATGCCTCTATAAATAAGTAAGTTGATAAATGAGTAAGCAATTTTTTGTGCATTTCAATCCAATTGGCTAAAACTTAAAAAAGTTGAAAAATTTATAACTATTAAACGTGTTTCAAAATTGAAAAAATTGGGAAAAAAAGAGAGTTAATTTCAACATTAATTTTATTTTCCTAATTTGGAATCGAATTATCGGATCGGATATTCGATAACATAGCAAATNATCGAATTATCGGATCGGATATTCGATAACATAGCAAATCGAATATGTATTTAACAATCAAATATCCGTGAATTATCGGATCAGATCGAATAATTATTTTTATTGGATTGGATATGGACATATCCGATTCATAGTTGATTCATTTACAACCCTACATATGACTTTGAATTTAAATGAATATATTATTTAATATCATGTAATTGTCATCTAGATTGGTAAATAACATTACTCTATTTTTATTATATAATTGCCAATCGATGACAGATTTCGGGGAACTCAATGAAGGAAGGTTGCCAATATTGATCAGTTCATCAATTTCCAAAGAATGGTCATTAAATATAATGACAATGGGACAACAGCAGTCCATAGCGCGCATTTGCTAATATAGTCTTCTTAACTACTCTAATACGATTTGAAATTGCCTATTCACATATAAATTATGATATAAATATAGTAGTATTTAAATTTAAAAGTAGCTGAAAAACCAAATATTTCGTTATCCCAGCTTTTGGACTTTTGGAGCTGTGCTGGTCTTTGTTGACTGTTGTGGTCAAGCTTCATGATTAAGACCTAAACTTAGGCCACAGGGCAAGTTTTCCATGGAAAATGGAATTTTTTTTGCCATTTTTCACTTTTTTAGAATGTTCGATTGGAGACATTTTTTATGTAATTAGTTTTTCACATTTTCTTAGTTGATCACATTTTCTTGCTT